AACAGTATGGAAATAAATGTGAATTGAATTGAATTGTGTTACAGTCAGTTAACATGTTGAAGCCTGTCATGTGAGAAAATCTGAAAGATGCTGCGATGTTTTACGCATGACACAGAAGTTTGACTTTAGAAGTAATAATTGAACAGGACAGCACAATACAGTTGACTTTTCACAACACAGGTTTGATGTTCTGCTTCTGAATAAATTGAGAGAATTTAGTAAAAGTTTTTATCTTTTGAACTTTTTGTTTTAGATCCAAGTGCCAGCATTAGCAGGATTCAAGATCTTTCTCTTGCCAACTTTGTGCCTCATCCTACCTCCTTGGTCTCTCTGACGCTCACTTCACTCAGATCAGAGACAGGTGAGTAGTTAAACTCATCAGTTGACCATTACTCATCTGGCTGAACAGTTTTTGGAAATATCAGTGTAAACTTATTTAATACCCGGAACTAAAAATTGGGTTAATAACCCAAACCCTCCAAAAGAATGCACGTGCTTGTTCTGCTGAGTGTCGTGCATGCTTTCTGTGGTAGATATTGTGGGGACCACAAGCATTATGAGGACCCAGAAAGGTCCTCACAGCTTGGTCCACTCTTAGCTTGTGCTGAAAAAACCTTGACCACAACACAGTACTGCATGCACCAGTTGCATGCAGTACTCAAAATCCACTAGATTCTGCTGATTTGGGGAATTGATGTCCTCAGTGGCATCATGGAAGACTCGGCAGCTTAGCTGAAATTGCGAGAGTGCTTGATATTGCTGCTAACCGATGCTAAATCTTCCCCCCCCCCCCGACAGTTTCTCCCGAATTGGCCAACCACGTCAAAGAAGCGGAGAGTCTGATCATCAACGTAGCCGGACGGTTACTGATGCTACAGAGGGATCACACCAAAACCCCAACACTGACCCACGCTCCCCTAGACAGACGGAAACACAACGAGGTCAGTACCTGTGTTCTCCTTCGTGGATTTTTATTAAAGGTAGAATGACCAAGCAATCAGTTGACAAAACTGTTTAAAAATGAAGACTGGAGGGCTGTCTTTTTGGGAGTATTCAGTTGGGCACGCCATATGTTAGAAAAATTTGAAACTTTTTTTGCTTTTGACTATTAAAATCAGCAAAGTGAACTGAAACAATTTAAAAAAGTCATATGGAACTGTACAACTTAGTCTGCGACTCTGTTCAGCGACAATTGACATCAATTTTTCAAATTTCTTGGGGGGAGGGGGGGTTTAGTGTTTGTCATTTCTGACTAACATTTGTTTCCGAATTGCTCACGTCTCATTTCGATTTTGCGTCCTTCTTGTAGATGCCATTCTGTGCCCCGGTGGTGCTAGCATCTTCTGTAGAGAACATCTGGACGACGTCTCGCAGCAATCGGGAAAAACCTCACCTGATGGAGGCACTATGGATTGGATGTGGTGCCGCCGGCATGAAGGTAACAAGGAACAATATGTCATCTAGTCAGATGTGTCTATTGACTGACTGGTCATAATTGTATATTTACCAGCACTTCACTTGAATATGTAGAGTGGCAGACAATTCAGCGATTGAATATTGAGCGACTGGTCTTATATGTATATTCTCTGACATGTAATATATTGACTGATGGTTTATCACCAACATATTTCTCTGCATTCTGAGAGCCTCTACCAAAAGAGATTTCTGTTTGTGAAAGCTGAAGAATGCAGGAATTTCTTGTCACACACTGGCAGGTGTACATTCATCAGGAAGCATGATGATACCTCATTGCTCAGTTGGTCCTATCACTTCTGACATTATAGACATCATTGTTTAATTAATAGTGTACATTTAGCACTGAGTATGGACCCTCTGCTGTTTGAATACGAGTGATGCACAGTACAGCACCCCACCAAGAGTTTTGCCAGAGAGAGGTCACTTTTCAAGTTTACGGTTGACACGCTGCCGTGATTAAGCACACTTTGTACATAATTTGGGGATATTTGATTGATAGGGGCATTCCCTGCACCATACAAAAACCATCGTTTCTGACAGCCTAACACCCATTCGCAATAATCAATTTTGAGTTTTCAACCAAGACAAACAAACATTTGGTAAAAAATTCAAGTTTTCTCTGTACACCACAGTTAGCGAATGAGACTTTGTGGACTATATGTCCCATAATGCACTGAGGAAAGGCCTCTCCATGACACCCTCTTGGTGGTGCACTGCATTGTGAATCGCCCGTATTGTGGACACCTGTTCAGGTTTATTCAGGCTGGTGTCAGATCAGCCTCTCTCTGTGGCACCGACTGAGGGGGGTACTTGATACATTGTGATATCATTTCAGACAGCCAAGGAAAATTGCTCAGAAATGAGCCACCTTGACCCGTACATTCCTGAGGTGTGGCCTCACGGATGGGTGTCTTTTTGGTTTCAGGTGTGGCTACCGCTGTTTCCCCAGAATAACGCCAAGCACCACCACAGCTTCTTGTCCAAACGAATCATGCTGCCGTTCCAGCTGAGAATCTACCCTCTTGGTAAGCCAAGAACATATACTCAAACCAGACCACAATGTGAACAGTTTCCGTGGCGTTAACCTTTCTTTGACCAGGAACCACAGGAGGTCACGGTTTCTGTTGATATAAATCTTAGCAGCCATCTGCATTGGCTGTTACTTTCAATGCAATCCACAGCCGATGGGAATTAAGGATGTCATTGCAGGACTGGCTATGATCAGTGGTCTCACTCTCCGACTTCTGAAACGTCTTTCAGCTCCGTTTATTTGACTTCTTCGCTTTATTTGCACAGCCGTACTCTTTGAAGACGCCGTGGTGTTAGGGGCGGCTACGGACACCTTGAGCTGTGAGCCCCAGACACCTTGCAGCGCTGACAGTAACAAGCCAACGATCCTGCCATTTACAACATTAGAACGAACAGTAAGTCAACATCCTCTCAATAGAAAGTAAGAGGTCTTATTCCCAATGCTCACAAAATCATTTCATTGTGTTCTTTCAGAGAGCATGAATCGGATCCAGTAACTCCTTATATTGGCGTACCAAAGTGAATATGTCACAGGCACAACTGTGTGTGTGTATGAAAGGCATTAGCGGGAGAACCAGTTCGTGAACCAAACACGCACGTGCACTCCAGTCTTTGCACTACACTTCTTGGTTCAAAATGATGTCACGCCTTGGTACTCTGCAGGAATGCTGAAAATGACATGTTGAAGTTAAATGATTCACTGATCACCTGACATGCTCCATAATTTCCACTACTTAAAGAAATGGCCTCCTTAACATCCCGATGGCACCCTTCCTTCTTTTCAGACTCAGATCTACCTGCACCACATCTTAAGACAGTTATTGAGGAGAAAGTAAGTTTGTTCGTTCATTTTTCTCAAGGTCTTCATTGTAGAAGAGTTAGCAAACAGAAAATTGATACATTTTGTCACAAAGGGATGCCAGAAATCAGTTAAGTAAACTTTGTTGTCAGGTGGGAATGGAAAATTTTTGTCTTGAGAAGATTTCATGAAAACCAGCAATGTAAAATGTTCTGCATCATTTACGGGGGCTCTTCATAAGTTATCAATTCCATGTTATCTTGCTTCTTTTCTCTGTAGTCTTGGCATGCATGCGTTGCAGATAGCCCGGAGTTGTAAGTCTCTACCGTACTTCCCTCACGTCCTAGAACTTATGCTTCATAGTGTGCTTGAGGAGGAGGCTACAGCATCAGAACCTATTCCTGGTAGGTGACAGAAATCCAAAGTCTTGTGATAAAAGTGAAATAACAAAGAGTGTTCTGGTAGAGGAGACTACAGTATCAGAACCTATACCCAGCGGGTGACAGAAATGCCAATGTCTCGTGATAAATGTAAATAATAGTGTGCTGGAGATGGAGGTTACTGCATCAGAACCTATACCTGACAGGTAACAGAAATCCCAATGTCTTATTGTGGTTTTAAACTGTAAAAATGACAGTTCACTGGACTGTGAGTCTACAAGCTGAGTCTATGCCTATGCGTGTTTACATCCAAATGTCTTATGGTAAAAGTGACATAACATAGTCTGCTGGAGAAGGAGTCTACAGCACTAGAACTTGTACCAGACCTAGCCCAAATTGAAACTTTAAAATTGTTTAAAGCACATGTCTTTGGGAAGTGGCTTCAGTTGCCAGCCAGTGACTTCAGTGGGATAATATATTCATTTCAGCCATAGCCATATTACTGTCGGACACAGCCCCTGATAAATGTCAGTACTGTTGTGTTTATCAAGATAAAGATCGAAGTTGCAAATGACGTACAATGATTGATGATTGATGTCTGGCATTACCAACAGATGCTCTCCTTCCCCGCGTGGTTGCCTTCATCGAGGAGTTCCCCCAGTTCTTACAAACCATCGTCCACTGTGCCCGCAAGACTGAGATAGCTCTCTGGCCGTACCTCTTTGGGACCATCGGAAGCCCTCAAGAACTCTTTGAGGTGTGCCGCTTAATCCCTTTAGCACCCTAGTCCGGGGAATAGGATTAAAAAGTAATGGAATGATAACTCACAAGTTTGACTTCTTCTTGAGGGATATCTTTCCCTCACAGTTGACCAAAATGCCGAGGTTTTTTAAATGAGACATGTGGAATGAACAGGAAGCTTGCTCTTTTAGAATTATTTGTAACATTTTTGGTTAAAGTAAATGTTTTTGGTTTTTCACATCTTTTTATAACAGCAATGCATAAAAACTGGTGCCCTGCAGACTGCTGCTTCTTACCTGCTCATCCTGCAGAATCTAGAGCCTCCTAAAGTCAGTCGGCACGTGAGTACCAGTTACCCATCATTCTACACTTTGTGGTTGAAAGTCCTTGGGCCAGACACTCCATTACATATACTCTCTCCGTTCTTGAGTAAATAGTTACCTATGAGGCCAAGGAGATATTGTTCCATTTAAATAATCGTTCCTCACCAAAATGGCAGCATCAAGCTGAACACTCCTGAGGCAGCTCAGATGGGCAACGGAATAGTTTATTAGCTTCATGAGAAGGGATAACCATGATAAGTCGTGAAGTTTGCAAAGTGTGCAGTTTTTGGTGGGTTTTATGGTTCTGAGTATAATGGTCAACTGTGTAATAATTTTGGATGCTGAGCTTAGAACATGAATATTGGCTGATGCAAATGCTTTATGAATAAACATGCTTCATAAATAAACATGTTTTATGCGTATTTTCAGCATGCTACACAGCTCTTGGACGCTGCACTTGATCACTGTGAGTGGAAACTCTGCAGAGATCTTCTCAGGTTTTTACGTTCCATCAGTGCCACCGACTTCGAAGTGGCTAGGACTCCGCCCCCGAACCTAAACAATTCCATCGTCTTCCCCCTGGGTAGCCCCAACCCGCTGCCGACCAAAGAGGGCGTGGCTAGTCTTAAGCGGGGGAGGCACTCCAGCAAAGGGGGCCGGATTGGCATGCCGGTGAATGAGAAGCAGGAGGTGGTGCCGGAGAAAAGGTGGGTGAGGCCAGTGAAAATGTAGGAGGGGCTAGTGAAAGGTCAGTGACCCTGAGGCCGAAAAAAAGATTGGCCAAATTGGTCAGTAAGCTCTGGTAGAATTGGATTGAATTTTTTTTTTTTAGGTACCTACTTCATAGTCACCTTTTGTTCCTTCTACGCAGCCGTCTGTCCTCCCAATCCAAGCCATCATCTTCCCAGTCCAAGACCACGGACCAAACCACATCTGTGGAGGAGTACTTTGTGGACGTCATTCTCAATCGGCATGCCCGGAAACTCCTCACCTCCTTGAGGCTGCGGGACCTCGGTCTTTGCGCGGCCTACCTGGACTTCAAACTGCAGGCCTGGCTGATCAAAGAAAGGTGAGTTTTCTGCAGAGATGTTTCCAGAGTGTACCCAGCCAAGTTCGTTGAGAAGTCAAGGGCAGACACACCTGTTACATCCACTCCTACCCTTTGTTAGACTTAGACTGTGTCTGAAGTGTGTTTTTTAGGTCTGTGACTTCAGTTTTGGTCATTACGGTACCATTATGCAGCTATGGTAGATAGCCCAAGCCCATAGCCACACTGCCCATTTCCAGCAAAGCCTTAGAGTGTAGCCAAGGGACCTTGACCCAATCTACTTTTACTTGAGCTTTCTCTTTTTGCCATTTTTTGGAAGCTTTTGGTTCACCTCCAGCCTCAGTGTTATCTGGGGGGACCCACAATTACTTTCCCACACTTTACTGGGGTAACCAAATAAAACTACTTCAGACTTTTGCTTCACATCAGAAGCTCTGAGATATACTGGACTGAATTCACACAGCTGAAAATTTAAGTCCATGCCGATTGCGAACCTAAAGTTTTGAAAAGCCTCCAGTCTCAAATGTTAACGAATACAGCGTGCTAAACCAGCCAACTACTGGTGTACTTGAAGTGCCCCTGTTGCTGGCCCACGCCCTACACCCTTTAGCCTGCTGATGGAGTCCAGTGGATGACCCATTCAGAAGAGCTCGTGTTAACTGTTGCAGGGGACGCGTGGCCAAAGTTGAAGACTTCGAGGCCGCCTTGAAGCAGCTCCATCAAGACTTCCAGTGGCCTCTGCCTACCCTGTCCACCGGGTCTGCCTCTATAGGCATCAACGTTACCAAGAGTCCCAGTAAGTCGGTTTACACCTCATTTACGCCATTCTTTGGTCTCAGATCAGTTTTTAGATTACCACGGAACGTAGCAGTTATGGCCAACAGATTTGTAACAAAATGACAGCGCGCTATGTGTATATACGTACACTTTCCTATGACAGTGAGGTGAGATGCAGTCCTTTGAGCTGCCATTACATGTGACCCGAAGCCTGACGCCATTATGTTTAGGTCTATTTGGCGTGTCGAGAGCTCTATTATTAGCACTGGAATTGGTTGCTGGGACACAGCGTAGCTCCCTCATAATTTGTTCTGAGTGCGAAGCTCTGTATCGGAGCGCTTGACCTCATTGTAGTTTGCAGTATGATGTTAGGCAACGGTTAATCACTTCAAAGGGACTTGCAGAGCGTATGATATCTGAATTAGTGTGCCACTCAGCTGATGCAACCTCAGAATGGTGTTCTGGCTGAGGCACATTTCAAATCTTACATCTATCGAGTTTTAGCCCAATTAGATTGTTTCAGATAGTTTTAGATAAATTCATCGTCTGGCAAAGTGTTACTTTCCTCTCCTCGTGCCTCTGTTAGTCCTGGGCCGAATTTCACCCGGGAGCCTGTCAGTCACTTCTCTGGTCCAACCCCCCCCCCCCCTTTCAAAATCTGGGCCCACAATCTGATTGCCTGGCAGGTTTACTTGTCAAGTCGTCACCGCCCACCGCCGCTACCATGCAAGCCCAAATCAATGGTCTGAAGCTGTCCAGTGATCCCGAGATGGACAAGCCCCACCTACCAGCCCACCCAGCGGGCCTTCGAATACTCATCCGACCTCACAGCTTTACGTCGGATAGCACGCACAGCGATGTCCGAACCGAAGAGGCTATTCTCAAATACCCTTCAGTCAAAGGTATTGACTGGCATTTTTTTCACTTTTGGTTGTTAAGTAAACCTAATTAAGCATAGCACGACAAAAATCGGTCAATTGAGATTTATTATCATAGAAATTCCCTGAAATTGAAAACTATTGACATAATTTGTAATTTGTATGGAAATCGTAGTTTTAGTGTGATGAGGCATTTTGTCGTTGTTGGGCAGTGCTTTTAAATCTGGAAACATTTTACCTCGTTGATCAACTGTTAATCAGGACACTGCAGAATGCGTACTTTACATCTGTAGTAAACTTATTCATAAGATGATAACCTGTTTCCAGACTTCAAACAAGACATACAGACCCATTACTTTAAATGTTTTCCCTGGTGTTACGCCCAAAGGTTCCGATGACAACAGCATTGGTACCACTGAGCCTTCGGAGGGCAGTTCCTTGTTTGGGGAGGGAGAGAACCTACTTGAAGACAGCATGTGGAGCAGCAGTGCCAACCTGGAAGAACTGGAACAGTTTTACCTGCAGCTGAGTCAGAGCGGCCCCAGACAGTCTGACAAAGAACTCAGGTAGGGTGATAGTGTGATATTGCCCTAGACAGTCTGACAGAGAACTCAGGTTGGGTGATTGTGTGATATTGCCCTAGACAGTCTGACAAAGAACTCAGGTTGGGTGATAGTGTGATATTGCCCTAGACAGTCTGACAAAGAACTCAGGTTGGGTGATAGTGTGATATTGCCCTAGACAGTCTGACAAAGAACTCAGGTAGGGTGATAGTGTGATATTGCCCTAGACAGTCTGACAAAGAACTCAGGTAGGGTGATAGTGTGATATTGCCCTAGACAATCCGACAAAGAACTCAGGTATTGTGATATTGCCCCAGACAGTCTGACAAAGAACTCAGGTAGGGCGACAGTGTGATATTGCCCTAGACAGTCTGACAAAGAACTCAGGTAGGGTGATAGTGTGATATTGCCCTAGACAATCTGACAGAGAACTCAGGTAGGGCGACAGTGTGATATTGCCTTAGACAATCTGACAGAGAACTCAGGTAGGGCGACAGTGTGATATTGCCCTAGACAGTCTGACAAAGAACTCAGGTGGGGTGATAATGTGATAATGCCCTAGACAATCTGACAGAGAACTCAGGTAGGGTGATAATGTGATATTGTCTCAAACAGTCTGACAAAGAACTCAGGTTGGTGATAGTGTGATATTGCCCTAGACAGTCCGACAAAGAACTCAGGTAAGGTAATAGTGTGATATTGCCCTAGACAGTCTGACAAAGAACTCAGGTAGGGTGATAGTGTGATATTGCCCTAGACAGTCTGACAGAGAACTCAGGTAGGGTGATAGTGTGATATTGCCCTAGAAAATCCGACAAAGAACTTAGGTATTGTGATATTGCCTAGACAGTCTGACAAAGAACTCAGGTAGGATGATAATGTGATAATGAACAATGCCAGAGCCCCCTCTTTCATCCATGCGAAGAGCCCAGTAACGATCTCCAGCTGTCTACTAACTCCTGAACGATATCCTGAGAATCAATTCCCATCCCATCCTTGCATCCAGGTATCTATTTGACATCTTCCTGGCTGCTGTGTGTCTGGAGTGGGCTCTCCTCATCGCCGTCATTCTCAGGGATATTAAGCTCGTCTCCAAGGTCGTCACGGTAACCACAGCCTCCGAAGTGACCCTGGATGTTGTTGCTCGCATGAGGGAGGGGCTTTCGTTCTTGGAGCTGTGGGCGGAATCAGAATGGTAGGCAGCTGAAAACCTTCTTCTCTCTATTCTGAAACTGTAAATTTTCGAGATTTCCACAAGTGATAGAGTTTTTTTCGGTATAAATCTCCAATTTTTTTTAATTCCAAGTTTAAGATCTTGGCTGGTCACACTGGCATTGCAAAGACTTGCAATACGTTAGGAGTCATCTCAAATCTCGTCCGGGATAAGTTGGGGGAAAACTGCGGTAGAGTGTTGCGGTGGAATGTTAAAGGCTGCTGAGATTTTCCCTACAATCTCCCCGCAATGAAGCTATCAGTATTTGTATACACATCCTCAGCCCCCCCTCCCCCTCTGCGGTTTTGGCCAGGCAGGGCACTCAAGAA